ATATATATATATATATATATAAACAAAAAAATCCATCTTCCATCACATAACGTTGAAACATAACAAAGTATCAATTAAAGCTGACAGTCCTTTTGGAAAGAAGTTCGTTTGAGCCGGAATTATTCTCTGCTCATTAAATTAAAATTTCGTTGACTCGAATAAAACGATCAAATAATGCCTACAAAAGTAGTTGTAGGTAGACGGGAGAAAAGTAAAAAATATATTAGTACATTATAATATTTGTTTTAATTTGGACGAAAGAAAAGAAATAAAAATAATAATAGAAAAATGTTTAATTTTATGGAATGAAATTTGTTTTTAATTAAGATAAATTTTAAATTGTGTATTAATTTAACGAACAAGTGAAGTTGATAGAGAAGATGAGATAGGTATTAGTGAAATTAAGTGGGTGAATGTGAATATTTATAACAAGAGTCAAGAACATGGCTAAAGTATAGTGTATTTTTGGTGTGTTTATGCAAAAGAAAAGAGCGTAGAAGGGAAAAGCAAGGGAGGGTTGATCAGGAATTGGGTCCGGGAGAGGTGGGCGGAGCATGAGCGTTGATGAAGGTGCGAGACGTGGCATTGGAGATGGCGGTGGCAAGAGAAATGGGCATGAGGCAGAGGCCTTTCCCCTGAAGGTACTGCATGGCGGAGCCCATGTCCTCCTCCATCAGCTTCGCCACCTGTTGCTCCGTCATGGCCAGGCTGTCGTTTGAGGACGCTTCATTCCCCTTCACCTTCCCTCCCTGCATGTCACATCTCACATGTCAGTACAGACACAAAATAAGGAATCTCAGAAAGTGGGCACGCGTGCTGCTTTTGCATTCTCCTTTTCTGCTCAGAGTCAGTGCTCATCCATTCATTCATTCACGGATAATAAGCCAAAGGCTAAGGCAACACAAAATACTACACTACACTACTCACTTCATCCCCTTCTACTATGCAAATCCTCACATCTTCCTCATTTTCATTTTTATGCAATTCAACTGCAAAAATAAATTACTACCTCTGACGACATTTCGCCCACCACGGGAGCCACAGCCGCAGCACCCCCCAATCTGCTCATGCTTAAAACCTGCAATCCAATTCTCATATATCATTCATTAATTCTACTAATCAATACTCCACTCATCAATTCCTTCACCGCTTTCAAATAACTATCGTTAATCATTTTCTATATACCAACACTAAAATAGTATTAAATCGTGTAATATTATAAAACACTCAAATTATAGTTATTTTAAACTTAAATATATTTTTAATTTCTAAAACTATGACATATTTTGGAACAACCAAGCGATATACTTTATTTTTTTAACCTTTACATTGAATAATAAAATGTATTTTTAGTCTTATACCAAATATATTTTTTGGGACAAAATAAATAATACTAATATTTCTTTATAAACATAAAAATAATATAAAGATTTGAAACATATTTAATTTTTAAATAAAGTAGATTTAAAGCAATGGTAAAACTAATTTAAATTCATTAGAGCTTGTTATATTTTCTAATTTTAAATTTCATCTCTCAATTTGAGGATAAATTATTATTATTTTAATTATATTTAAAACATAGAATTGAAGTTTGTTTTGTAGTTTTTCAAAAGAAGATAACGATAATTATTTAAAATTTTTAAAATCATTTTTATTTTATTTATGTAATTATGAAGAAATCAATCGAAACTAAATTTTTTTAAAAGAAAAAGTTAGCCAGGATGAACAGCACCCGTACAGTAGCTCACTAAACATCCAGCTAACTTAATATTCTAAAGTTGTTTCGATATTTCTCACTAAAAACATTAATTTAGTTATGTTATCTTTTTTACTTTATCAACCTTTTGCTTCATTGAATAGAAATATCAAGAGACAAAGATAAAGAGAAAGATTGTTATAATTTTTGAATAGCAAAAGTTTTGAAATATGCCAAATTCGTTAAAATAACAATTAAATAGGTATAAGTTAATATAAGTATGTATGACAAAACATAAAAAATTAAAATAAGATTGAAAAAGTAATTAATGAAAAAAAAATACATATTATGACATGAAACTAACATGATAATAGCATTTTAGTTACCCATAACATGAAGAGAAAAAAAAAAATAGTAGAAAGAGAGAGGAATCTGACCTTAACTTGGAGCTGTAGGAACTTGACATAATCGATGATCTCATCCAGCATAGAGGCCTTGTCAGTCTGTGAATCCACATATATATATATATATATATATATATATATAATAGATAAATAAGGATATAAATTAAGAGATAAATTATATTATTATTATTATATGTTATT